ATGTGCTTGCTGCAAGAATGTCCAAATATTAACATACTACACAAAAACATTGTTCTACATCCCACTTTGGTGAGTAGTGAATGGAGTCTTAAAACCTCGCAAGCAGCCATCTAGATCAACAGATCTTGTCCAGAGCAAAGACGATGGAAGAAAACCAAAGATGCATGGAAATGATTAGTTCAAGGGACTAGTACACCATGCAATCCTCAGCCTACACGACCATGAGACCAGAAGAACTAGACGTTTGCAGGCTACCACTGTCAATCACTCAGAAAGGGATTAGTGCAGGAGATGCTGGAGGCAGAGCTGCAGTGGGAGAATGTAGAACAAAACTCAAAATAAAAAAAGACCAGGTTTACTGGTCTAATAGATCCTGGTGAGACCCCTGAGAGTATGACCAGTAGTTACCCTCAGGTCTGGAACGGAACTTATCCTGTGGCTTCCAGCCAAACAAGAAGGTATATAGGGTGAACATTTACATCAGGTAGATATATTCCTTGTGGCAATCAGTCACAGGAGAACAGAAGGGCAGTGTTTGCACAGGGAGATAGCTTGGGGGTGGGGGCAGGAATTCACAGGAAAGGACACAGGAAAGAGATAGCTATGGGGAGGAAGCAAGAAGAGAGCTGTTACATTGTGGGGAATTGCAGTCAATGTCATGAAACAAAACGTTTACAAACTGCTGTATGGAAAATGAATTTGCTCTGTAAACTTTCATCCAAATCAAAATAGAAATTTTTTTAAAAAAGAATAGAAATAAATGAAAGAGAATAGATGAAAAGAGAAAACCAATGAAACCAAAAGGTGGTTCTTTGAAAAGATCAACAAAATTGACAAACCTTTAGACAGACCAGGAAAAAAGAAACAAGACTCAAATTATTAAAAACCAGGACTGAAAGAGGGGTCATTATTAACAATATTACAAAAATAAAAGATTACTAAAGAATACTATTGATAATTGTATGTCAAAAAATTAGTTAACCTAGATGAGATACACAAACAACTGAAACAGATTCAAATAGAAATAGAAAATCTGAATAGATGCATACCAAGTATAGTAGCTAAGGTTATGTGTCAATTGGCTGGGCTTGGTTTTGAGCGGCTGGGCAACTGGATGCAGTATTCCCCATGAGGAGGCTGGTAATCAACTCCATGGTGGAGTTGTCTTAGGGATGTGGTTTGCTTCCCATATATAAGGAAAAGTGCTGAGAAAGGTCTCAGCGTTTTTTGGCATGCTCGGACCGTGTGTAGCCAGGTCTTGATTCAGCAGCCTGCCATGCTGTCTGCTGATCTTAGGACTGTTCCTGGACTCGAACTAGTAGCCTGCTGTGTTGTTTGATAATTTTGGGAGTGTGCTTTGTTACTTGTGGACCTTGGTTTGTCAGCCTGGGCAGCCAGCAGCTGTCTTGAGTTAAAAGAAGCCTCCCGCTTCAGTTGGCCGGGAGCAAGGGGCAGAGCTGAAGCCCAAAGTTGCGGGGCTTTCACCCAGCCCCTAAAGTTAGCACTCTGAACTCGGATTTCTAGTCTCCTAAATTTTAAGGGAGCTCTGGTAGCATAGTGGCTAAGGCACTT